GCGCCCCTGCTGCCAGTCACCGGTGAAACCCCGTCTCTACCAAAACTAGAAAAGATTAGCTGGGTGTGGTGGCGCGCCCCTGCTGCCAGTCACTCAGGACGCTGTAGTGGGAGGACTCACCGCTTGAGCCCTGGAGGCAGAAGTTGCAGTGAGCCAAGATCGCACCACCGCATCCCAGTGTGGGTGACAAAGTGAGACCTCATCTCAAATAAAATGAATGTCTCGAGGCCAGGTGTGGTGGCTCACGCCTGTAATCCCAGCACTTTAGGAGGCTGAGGCGGGCGGATCACTTGAGGTTGGGAGTTCGAGACCCACCTGACCAACATGGAGAAACCCCGTCTCTACTAAAAATACAAAATTAGCCGGGCATGGTGGTGCCACATGCCAGTAGTCCCAGCTACTTGCGAGTCTGAGGCAGAAGAATCGCTTGAACCAGGGAGGCGGAGGTTGTGGTGAGCAGCTGAGATTGCGCCATTGTACTCCAGCCTGGGCAATAAGAGCAACGTAAATGAATAAATAAATGTATGTCCCACCACACGTTGGAGGGAGGTGGAAAACAAACACCCCTTACACCAGTCAAACTGCAGACAGGTATGAGATACTGGCAAAGAGTGGGACAGGTCTACTGTAAATTTACCTGTGCATACCAGGAAACCCAGAATTCCGCTCAGAATCTCATGGTATTTAACCAGGAGCCTCACACACCACTGTTCATACTAGCAAAGCATCGCTAAAACCGTCATGGGACACCTGACTCCACAAAAACAAACAGTATCCAACTGACCCTTGGGTCATCCTAAGGGCCCAGACTCTGTGATCTTCCCAACGCCCATGCAGACGGCCCTGTTTTGCACATACACCAAGGCTCTTTCAGATGACTCTGCCAGCGTGAGCAGCCTCCAACCACTGTCCAAAGTGAGACCTGTCCTGAGCTGCCCACACTCTCCTCAGTAAGAACACGGGAGGCACGGGGCTCCCGCACAGCTGCTTCCTTTCCAGCTGGAAAGCTGCTTCCTCTCCAAAACACCTGGAGCTGCTCCTCCACCTCTCAGCAACTGCTTCAGGCCAGGCTGGCTGAATTCCCCAGGGAGCCCGTTTTCACTGGCCAGGCCAATGGCAGCGGCCATGTTTCTGCCTTTTCAAACCATCGAATCAGGCAGGACCACAGGATGCAGTTCTGCCCACAGAAGCCAGAGTCGTGCGTGGGGTCCATTGTGAGGGGTCTCCTTGCTGCCGGAGAGAGGCATATGACCCCACTCCCTCTTCTTTCCAGCTTGCAGACTGCTTGTAATGGCAGAACAGGCTGAAGGGAACCAAGCCTTTTGCAACAGGAAAGCCGCCAGGCAGGGCTTGGCTGCAGAACTGAGTGGCTCAGTGGCAGTCGCCTAGTCAGAGTGTGACTTCTTCCGCCTTCTGGACTTGAATGTTGCACCTCTTTGCAGGGGCCCTGCAAGCCCCGTCCCTCTTCCCCCATGCAGGTTTAAAAATGTTTCCTAGGCCAGGCATGGTGGCTTACACCTGTAATCCCAGCACTTTGGGAGGCCGAGGTGGGCAGATCACGAGGTCAGGAGATCGAGACCATCCTGGCTAACACGGTGAAACCCCGTCTCTACTAAAAATACAAAAAAATTAGCCAGGCGAGGTGGCGGGCGCCTGTAGTCCCAGCCACTCCGGAGGCTGAGGCAGGAGAATGGCGTAAACCCAGGAGGCGGAGCTTGCAGTGAGCCGAGATCGCGCGACCGCACTCCAGCCTGGGTGACAGAGCGAGACTCCGTCTCAGAAAAATAAATAAATAAAATAAAATAAAAATAAAAAATGTTTCCTAAGTGTGTTCAGATGCACAACCAAGGACCAGCTGTTGGAGGCTGCTCTGACTCAGGAAGCTCATGATTGGGCCGTGTTCTCGAGGGACCACTGGAACTTTCTTCTCGAGTTCAGGAGCCCCTCCTTTGCACCACCTACACTTGGACCAAGAAGACCCACCGACTCCTCATCCTCATCCCAAGAAGACCCACCAACTCCTCATCCTCATCCCAAAGGACTCATGCCTGCCACAGAAGCTGTGACCTGTAAGCCACTCCCCCAGTCCTGTTTCCAAATCTGTATCATGAGAGTAACAACCATGCCACAGGGTGCTGAGCGTTACTGAGGCTGGCCCATGGGATGTGGAGAGAATTTGCATCAGGCCTACCATGAGTGCTCCGAGAACCACTGTCGATCCTGGTCGCCCATCCCAGTAACAGAACACGAGGTGGTCCTGCCTGACCCCCAGCCCTGGATTGGGCCAGCCTGGGCTCCAGAAAACTGCTTCTTCCCAGGCTTCCCTCTGCGTCAGCCCTCGAGACAGCAGGCGTCCTCATGGCTGGGTGCTGACCGTCATCGGCAGAGTAAGTGAGCAAGCCCAGGGGCCCAGGCAGGGCTGCTGTCCTCCTGCGGGCTGAGGGCCTCCCTGCTGGCTCCTAGCAGGATTGACAAGCATCCTTTGAATGAGGAAACGATGACATTCCGTTCCCATCCCAGGCAGGGCTGGGGGAAACCCCCGGGAACCCCTGTACAACCCTCCCACCTCACTTGCAGCAGCCTGAAATATGTGCTTTCCGGCCCATCAGGGCCCATCTCCTACTCCCTAGTTCATGACCCTCCTTTGTCTCCCTCACTCGGACCAGCCTCTGTGAGCCAGTGCTACCTCAGCTCTTGGGCCAGCTGCCCAAAGTGCTGGGATTACAGGCGTGAGCGTTCACCCACCCACCACGTCCACTCGGAGGCCGGGGAGCCTGCTCACCCAGGCCAGTCACGCACCGCGAGGCCATCCCTTCCCTGTGGTCAGCAATGGCCTGCTCGCCCCAGGCCGCGCCAGGGGAGGGACGACAGGGCCCTGCACTCCCCTCGGCCCGCCTCACCCCACACCTCACCTGTATTCAAGGGATGCATGTGCTATCTCTGCCCTGCCACAGCCACACCTGCCCCCACCCAGACCCCAAACTCAAGGTGGGGATAGAGGAAGGGAGCCTGTAGGGTCATCCCAGGAGGCCCAATGGGGCCAGGAGCCTGACAGAAGCACCTACCACCAGGCTTCTTCGAGGTCCCACAGCCCCAGGCGGTGCAGGGTCAGGGCCACAGCACCATCACCTGTCCCAGGAGGCTGAGAGGACAGAACAGAGGCTGTGGGTTCTCAGCAGGCACAAAAGCGGTGCTGTCACCCACGCGCAGGCCCAGCGGTCAAGGTCCAGCGGAAAGCCCACGGGCTGTGGCCAAGCAGCCCAGGTGGTTCCCACAGGAGGCCAAGGTAGAGAAGCCCGCGGCAGGGACGCGGCACTCACAACCAGGGGCCGGGCAGAGGCCTGTGCGGAGGCCCCCATCCTCGGGAGGCAGCCTCACCTCGCTGGCCTG